CGACTTCAACAATCCAAAATATTATACACAGAATAAAACAAACATAAACGTAACTTTTTAGAAATGGTTCACATCAACCGAGATAAACACAGCGTCAATTACAGTACAGACACATGTAAACTCAGTCGCAGCTACGCCAATATCATTAATCAGATTCAATATCGATAATTTACATATAATCATCACATTACGCAAAACATATAATATAACATATAAGACATTCATCACATTCCGAACATCAAACATTTGTACATAGTCTAATTTTTCAACAATTCAGCTTTCCTTTTCCTAATTATCCCCGTCTATATTATCCTGAAAGGATAATGTGGCCGAACCATTAACAATGTTTTTCCCATCGTCGGCTCTTTTCACCTCAAAAAAGCCGACTCCTTATACAAAAATGTCTTTCTTTACCGACTTCCTTCGCCACCCCTTCAAAACGTATATAAACATAAAACAGCAATATCTCACTGGCATTCTCAACATGACACGGAAGAATGGCACAATTAAGCAGAAAACAAACACTTTGAGCCCTGAAGATGATCTCAATAAAGATTGAAACGTTGCCACGATAAAGAAAATGTTTTTCTGAAACCTACATCACACCAGATCGCATCTAACGATTTCCGAATAATCATCGACTAACGGTCACTAATCACCACACAAAGTAGAAAATATTGAATCTCTATTTTTAACTTGATCAATTCTATTCCACAGACAGAAACATACAAAAGCACACTTTCATAAAAGTAGATTTTTTTATCAGTATCGATATAATACAACAAAAATATTATCAATATAAGATAATATAGTTTTTATATATTGAATCTCCCACTCTCTCTCCTTTCTCTCTCTTTCTTTTTCTCTTTCTCTCTCGCTCTTTTCCCTCTGCTCTCTCTCTCCCTTTTTTTCTCTTTCTCTCTTTCAATCTCTCACACTCTCTCTCTCTCTCTCTCTCTCTCTCTCTAACTCTACCTCTCTATCTATCTATCTATCTATCTATCTATAACACTATCTCTCTCTTACTTATTAATACTGTTTTTGACAAATATTACAAATAGATTATCTAAACAATTGTAATCATCATTGTCTTTCGTAATTTGATTTGTCTAACGCCTCGGATTATGTTTTTCAGTCTAAATAATAACGTGTGGTGTTTAGTGACCGTGGATTAATGAATATTTGGTGATCGTGAGAACAAACCAGACCACATTTGACTATCTCCAAATATTTACTAAATAACATAACAATAACAATAATCAATAAATTCGACCTGTTCTATTGCAAGTTCTGAAACAACGTCATGAATAGACCGAGAAGGCGAGCTAAGGCTGGGGAGATTTTATTTATTCAAAAAGCACTTGTCCTTTTTGACGACCCTAATCGTCCAGAGAATAGGTCTTAACTGACCTTCCTGTAACCCTAACATTCCCTGATCTCTCCGAAAATACAGCTTTTAGCAGCTGAGTCAGTTTCCTATCTTAAATAGATCAAAGGCTCAATCTCATCCGTTTTTTTCTCTTGAAAAGTCGCATCGAAATATCTCGTTTGATAAGGTGGAGAATTTTGCAAATTAATTCTACAACTTTTTAATATTCTTCGTAATTCTTACGAGGTTAGTCCATCAAGAGGTTTATCTCACAAACAAATTTTGTCTTTTTAATAAGACGTTTATTGAATTAAACGGATAATAAAACCGGAGGAATAATCTCTACATTATTACAGATGTTTTAATATTTGCAAACGTTTTATGACGAACGCGTTTTTCCAAGATACATAGTGATTCCTTATTTATTTTTAATCCAATACATTATCAAGCATGAGTATACAATTTCGCTTATAATGTTTAGAATTAAATTGCTAGATATCCCACCGTGGGCATTACCTACTACCACAATTATCGAAGATCTGGCCTTGTTGAACAAAAGAGAAACACCTTCTCTGATGATCAAGGCAGAATTCTTGCGAATTTTAAATAACTATCCCAATTATAAAGTTTTTTATACCGATGGGTCTAAAAATGAAATTGGTGTAGGGTGTGGGATATTTGCTGATGAGNACCTTAGCCGTTAAAACGCCCTTAAAAATTAATAATAATAATAATAATAATGTTTAGAACTAAAATTAAAAAATATCTGGTTTTTGTTACATGCGATATTTACGGATAACTGTCGGACTTAAAATACCAATTTGACCATGGCCAACTTAAGTATAACGTCGTATAACGATCCACTCGGACACTAATTTCCCATCTCAACCCCACCTTTTAAATTTTCCCTCCTTTTTGCCATTTTTCATGGAAGTTAGTGTCCGTGTGGATCGAGGTCACGATAGCTCAACTGGTAGAGCAGCGGCATATCAAGCCGAAGATCGTGGGTTCGAATCCCGCTCGTGCCATTGACTTTTTTATCTCAACTAAAAACCTTAATTGTAATATATTAATTGGTCAAGCGGACCACGAAATTAGTGAATTTCTAAATTAAAATTTATAAAAATAACAAAATCAAAATTCTAATGTAACTATGATTTAAAATTAATTGTAATTGCAACAATCGACAAGAAATGCCAGTTAGAATTATATATATTTCATAATGGCCAGTGGTAATTAGCCATGGGCTTACGTGCCTTTTGAATTAATTAAACTTAATAGGTAATAAAACAAATTGCGCTTTAAAAAGATTTAGTATCGTTGTGCCATCCATACATTGCAATTAATACATTTTTTTTCATTTACAAACAGGGGGCCTACATACTTGGGATCACCGATTTTAATGAAACTTTTGTTGATGATATTACGTCGAAAAATATTAGACACCTATTCGAAACTTCTTTACTGACAGATCCAAGAAGGTCCTTTCATAAGGATAAGAAGATAATAAGCAAGATCAAATCATTATCAACTACACGTAATTGCACAAACGTTTTGTCCGCAAATAAATTAGAACCGGAGAAATATAATAAAACGTTTGAGTATGGTTTTTTTAACTTGTCCTTATTTTTCTCACATATATGCATTAAACTAAACACTGACAAAGCCTGAAATAAAATATGCTTTCCAACGGTTGGAAAAGCGTTGAATTTGTATACAATCCAAAATACAACTCAAAAATTACAAACCAAAAAAAAACCTTTTTTTAAGTGGGATCCCAGTTACCTAATGCTTTCTTATTTCATGGCCATAAGAGTGCTTAAAACGAATCCAAATTGTTCTATGCAAAAAGATTTTTTTTTAGCCTACTTTACATGTTTTACGTTTTTGTAACTTTTTATATATCTAATCTCGTTAATACGATCCTGCTTATTATTTTCCCATCCAAAGTATTATGGTGGTAATATTAACAAATATTCTGCTTTCCAATGTTTTTTTCCTGTTTCCTCACTGGAGGACGTGGATAAAAACCATGTACATAAAAAAACCTAAAATGGAAAAATCCAATCCTCGAGGGACAAGGGCTAACGCGCCCTGCATCCCTCCCGTCCGCCACGCCGGCCGCGTGGAGTGATGAGTGCTGACGGGTGCACCAGGCTATATATCGGATCTATTTTGCTTTTATATACGGAATATATATTTGGTACGGCTGACAAAAAGGCCGTCACAATGGGCGGAGCTTTCTTGCGGAGCCAGTAGTTGCTAGTTTGATCCAACTGTGCCAGGAAGGCAATTTTGGGCATATTTATACTATCTGTCTGCTGTAATTTAATTATCATATTCGTTGCCAACTTTTTAATTCTAACCTTTATTGGGGGCTCTGCAGCTTCGGCATGTATAACAATTGTAGGAGAGCTTTTCAGGCAACCCAATATTCTTCTTACGCATTTATTTGTGAATATTTGTAGCTTATTAATTTGGGTGTCTGCGGATTGGCAAGAAAAAAAAAAAAAAACACCCCCGAAATCCAAAACCGACCTGATGGTGGACCTGTAGAATATAAGACCCACAGATGCGTCTGCCCCCTATCGAGTGCCTGAAAAACTTCGGAGTGTGTTATACAGTTTCTCACCTTTTTCTAAAAGCGACTTTATGTGTTCTGACCAATTTAGATTAGAATTAACGAAAAGACCTAGCAATTTAACGTATGGTTGTATAAACATTTAATTTGGACAGAATTTAGAGAGGTTATGAATTATTAAGAGTACCATTGAACATACTCAACCGAACAAAATTACACCCGGTTGATCGAACCAAAAAATTTATATTTTTTGTTTTCTATCAAATGCTTAGTTAAAGGTTTTAAAGGGTGCCAACAATTAAACTGAAATTCTAGTTCTGAAGGATACCTTCTAATATCTCCCGAATGTATGAGTTTCTGATATTTTTTAGAACAGAAACAACAGTCAAAATGTGTGAAAAGAATACTTTACGTAGGAAAAACCAGGGGGGCGTCGGTGGCCGCATCGGTTTAGGCGTTTACACGGCGCTCATCACTGTAAAGTACAAGTCCCGGGTTCGAATCATGCGGCCCTGCATTCGAACCCGACATACCTACAGATGAGCTTTTTTTTCAAAAACACCGGCACCCAGAGAGTTTATATGACTTCTGCTGTTGCAAACTTGTTAAAAAAAGAAAAAAAATTATAACCAGGTCGCGTCAAAGCACAACGCATACTAAAAGTCTAATAATATCACCAGTTTCTACATGGAAAATTAATTCCACTAATGGTGAATTAAATCACGGTATAGGTCTTAATAAAAATAATATTATATGATTAAAAACGATTTGGTTTGTCTGTTTGAATATGTGAAGTAGTGAATATCTTTATGTATTCATTAATTAACTAATAACCTTTTTATTATTAATAATTATTAATATGTTTTCTATAATTTAGTCGCAAAATAATACGTTTTAACGATCAAGGCAGTACAGAGAAAAAAAAATATTTAATGTACCACAATTTTTTTAAACTATTGTGTCTGATATTAAATATACAAATACTTTATTAAAAGGTTTCTACTACTATTATTTTCCTTATATAAAAAAATTTTAAAGTAAAATACTTACTGCCAAGGAAGGCCGCCGGCTATCCCTTGCCGCAGCCGGTCTCTCAAAGACCTCTGTCTCGCCGGTCCAACCCAGTTCTCCATTTCTGGTCCCACATCTAGAAAAAAAAAGTATTTTAAAGAGTAAAAAATACCGTGTAAATTTGGTCATTACAGGTTAAATTCGTTACACTCGGAACGGTAGTTGGTTCTCTGAGTTTGATTTAGAGAAAATCTGATTACTTACAACTCTTTCGTATGTTTTTAATATTTGGATAAATTATAGTCTGTGAGAATAGTAATTAACCAGTTTTTCGTTTGTTAATTATTTACGCTGATTTATTCTCCTCAGCTAAGAACCCACGTTGGTTGAGTTAGAACTTTTAGCCCCCTGTATTCCAGGGATTTACGCATTCTCCTGAGACTATCAAATTTAAACGTAAAAAGACCACGTTTGTCATTGCTCATGGAATCGGTAAAAATCTTAGACCCAAACCCAAAGGAACTTTATAAAATAAGGCACGTAACACGGCGCCTGATATTACTTTCCCCGTTAAACCGGTATAACCGTTCTGTCCTGATGGATTAGCCTTCTCGAGGTGCCGTTTTTCAGCCAATGAAATTATTGGGAAAAGGGAGATAAAAGCTTTACCGCACCTCCAGGTGTTTTATTCCGAGCTTTTATCCCACACAATTGTAAATATAGTCTGACCGACAATGTACAACTTAAAACTTCTAAAAATGACAAAGCTGTTATAAGCCTATTTGAATATACCTAAATAAACTTCAATCGATATTATGGGTATTTGTTTTTAACGTGACTTCGAAATTCTCTCTTCGGGGGCGACGGTGGCCGCAACGGTTTAGGCTCATCACTGTAAGGTGAAGGTCCCGGGTTCGAATCCAGCAGCCCTGCATTCGAACCCGATATACATACAAATGTTGTTGTTTTTTTTTGTTTTTTTCAAAAATACCGGCTCCCCAAGGGTTGATATAACCTCTGCTGTTGCGAACCCTCCTAAAAAATAAAAAAAATTCTCTTCTAAAAGTTGTTGTCGGTTCACGATCATTGGTTTATTATAATTGATACTGACAGCAATTTAAAAAAAAGGAAGGCTAGAAAGAAAGGTAGGAAATTAATAGGATTGGGAGGATCGATAGAACAAACGTGAAAAAGTATCATAAAAAAATCCCTAAAAACTAAAGTGGCAAAGGACATTAGGTGTGAAACAAGGTACATTGGACACAATTATACACACAAAAAAATGCTGATTAATGTATACAAATAAATATTTAAAAAGGGAAGAAATAGAGGGAGCTATAAAACGGTAGAAAGTTACTGAATGGAACCAGACATTTAATAAAATAAATGTATAAATGTATTAAGGAATAGATAAATAGTAACAAAATTAGAAGAAGGCACACAGAAAGAACGATAGAAAGTTAATGGATGGATAAATAAATTTATCAATATACGCAAAGATAAGTAAACAGTTATAAATAAGTTGTCAGATATGTACTTGTATACAGTAAGAATACATAAAGATACAGATAAAAATGAATTTGCGTTGGGTAAAAAATAATATGAAAGTGTATTATTATTATCCAGGAAGTCCATTGTTATTAATTAGTAATAACACAAAAAATAACTAACTGTTAAGTCTATATATTGTTGCCTGGGCAATCATTTTAAATCTATAAGACTCGTGGGCAATCATGCGGCATCAAAGGCACCTTGGACATCCGATCTAAAGAATGGAACCTCGGGGAATGTAAAACAATAATACCTTCATGGATAGATCCGGTTGAAAACATACAAAAATTAAAATACAAACTGAGTCAGATGATTCATTCCTATGCACAAGTTCTTTTACCGTCAGCTTTGTACGAATTTCTCTTCGTCCGGCCTGAGTTAATTGTAAGGGTGCATTTTTTTTCTGTTTACAAAGCATTCTGCAGTACGAAGCTCCACACTTCGAATATCCGGCACAAAAGGATCTTTGTCCTATTAGACATTATGAAATTAATTAGCCCCAACGTACTTCTGCCCCGCCAACTTCAGAAAGCTTAAAACAAATTGTGGGATAAATGTACAATGTATGCAATGTTCGTAGATAGATATATGTATTTGCCTACATGGATCGCTTATAAAACTGAACCATGCCCTATTCAATGATGGACGAATTTAACCCATTATGCTTGACAAAATATATTAAATTTAAAAATATTCCCCTTAAATTCACTAATTTCGTGGTCCGCTTGACCAATTAATACATTAAAATTAATTAAGGTTTTTAGTTGAGATGCAAAAACTTAATTAATTGTAAAATATTCCCCTTGTTTTTCAATTTTGATATATGCCGTTAAAACTTAGGCATTACTAGCAATGCTAAAACATTTACCGGTCAATAAACAATGCTTTCATTAAGGCTACATTAACTAAGTTTTAGCAACAAAAGGATTTTAGCACTAGTCAACATGCGAATCTATTTATGAAGGTTCAATGATGCGAGTGAAACGAAGGAAGTTTAATTTGGAATGCATTAAATTCAGTAATAAAAACAAGAATTTTATACCAGTATAATTGAAGTTTTTCTCAGTAAAACTATTTAAACGCAGTTTTAGACCTAAAACTGTCCATAATAAACAACCTAATAGAAACAGACGTATATAGAAAACCCACAACTACAGACACTATGATACCAGCGGATTCTTCCCACCCATGGTCCCAAAAGGCTGCCGGTTTCATTTGGCTCATAGACCGGATGTTAAAACTTCCGCTACACCTGATAACTATAAAAAAGAATTAAAAACTATTAAAACCTTAGGATTAAACAACGGGTATCAAGAAATATTTATTGATAGGTTGCTAGTTAAAAGAATAAAAAAATTAACTTTAAACGAATCAACAATAGGACTCAGCCACCCCACCACAAATGAATCATTAGGTTTCCGTTGATTGCCATACATTGGTGAATTATCGGAAAAAGTTTGTAAAATTTTTAAACAAGAAGGTTTTAGAATAGCATTTAGAAGTACGGGTTCACTTAAAAACATCCTCTCAAAACCTAAAGACAAGGTAGACAACTTGGCAAAAAGTGGGGTTTACCAACTCAATTGTAATGATTGTGATATTAAATATATAGGACAAAGCGGTAGAGAAATAAAAACAAGAATAAAAGAACACTTGCCTAAATCGAGCAAATTTTCGGAATTTATGGACCATCTAAAAGAAACANTACTGTGAGTAGGAACTGTCTTTTTAAAAAGGATTGAACACCACACTCACTCCATCATTTATCATTTCTATTTAAACGCTTTATGCAAGATAACATAAATTTTCAGTATCTCCAAAGTCATTTAATCAACTATTGATCAGTACATAAATAATCCATCTTAAATTTAAATAAGTTATTAACTATTTCTAAACTAAAACTTAAAAAAAACTATTTCTAATTAGTACAAGTATGAACACACACTTGCAATAATAAAAGTTATGGCTTCAGCAATATTAATTGGCCCAAAGGCGCTAAGGCCGGGACGGTACAACCTCGGGGCATAACCATTGCCCATAAAACCGTCCCTCTGTCGCTAAAAATGCAATAAAAGTATCATTAAAAAAAGTGGAAGCGTCGATGGGCAGGATCAGCAGAGAGACTCACGCGTATCACGAGCAATGTGGACGGTGGCCTTCAGAGGACCTGACGTAGAAGAGTCATCTTCGCACGATTAAGAATGGGCCTGCGAGGTTGACACACGTTGGATTACTTTTGAGTCAAATCCCGCGTATGTGTCCAGTAAGCAGAAAAAGGTTGCTCGATGTGTCCCGCATGAGTGCAATTCATTTGCTCCATATAGAGTAGGCGGGAAAACGAAAATGCCATCCGATATGAGAATTATGCTAAAGCACAGCAGCGACTATCTGGTCCCCTGTTTCGCGTCTTGGAATTAACAGGATTGTATTGTATATAATAATGATAGTTTTGGCGTGAACGTGTAATGTAAGAAGGTCGATTGCGGAATATTGATTACCCCATCGACCTACAGTTAGGTTAGTTACATAATGGGAGTAAAGGCTGATGGAGGAATATCGAGTATTCCACCACCCTAATTGAGTGAATGGTATGAAAATAGGAAAGAATGTTTTTAAGAATGAGTGAGAGTGTGAATGGGTTTAGAACGGAACTGATTGCGTTAGGTGCTGAAATGACCTGGCTCTTGGCAGCACCCTGAGCCCAATCTCGGTGGGTGGACGGATAAAATTTAGGTCTGACCCCGGATTGCCAACACCCGGGGTAGGTGATTCTCGAGTCCTGCCGGTGATTTACTGTAAATTACAAAAGCTGGTGTTGTCGGTGGACTTCAGAAGTGATAGGCTCAACTCTGTACACTTTATTTACATGCATATGCAGATATCAGCTTATATAAATCAGTAATCAGTAATCAATGAATTTGCTCAAAATCACCAGAAATATTTTTTTTAAGTCCTGGTGAAGGAGACGTATTTACTGAAAAAAGACGTAAAATCTTGTTTGTGTTTTTTTTAAATTAACACTATTTCTGATTTGTATATAAATTTATTATATTAATGCTGATATCAATCAAATCAAAATAATTTGCTATATATGGAGTTTACCGTACACAGGATTGACAAACTGACAACTGATGATACGTTCGGTTTTGATAATTACTGTTCGCATTGTTTAAAAATCCGGTTGTTTTTATTGTTATTAAAAAGAAATATTCAGCGCGAGTTTAATAAAAATGTCCTAATAAATATTTGGCTAAGTTGCCGTTTTGCACATATAAAACTTCGAAGCTGCACATCAAGTTAGAAGAGGGCATTATTTCCCAGGAGAGAAGGAAGACTTCTGTACGTTAGTTTTCTCTCTTTCTGCCTAGCTTAGCGGATAAATTTTGTTTTGATTTATTTTTTCAGGAACTTCTTTTAAATATGTAAAAATTTAATATGTATATCATTCTAATCAGAAGAGTTAACGAGGGCATTTGGTTTGGTCTAGTTTTAATTAACGGTTAATTTAGTTTTATAGAGGCGATAAAACGTAACGGCGGACTTTAACAGAGTCCGCGTCGGTGCGTTCAAGTTTGCTGGAATGAG